TTTCTTTTTAGGCATGGGACTTGCAACCATGCCAGTAAACCCTAGAGCTAGCTGTACATACAGATGTGAACTTTAAAAACAACATTAGACAATTAATGATTATTTGACACAAGATGGCTGTCAACCTGGGGTTCATCATTTGTAGTGATTTGGGGGATTTGAGTGTGAGTTACATTTGTATAAAGTATTTGTTTACTTATTCATCATAGGATTTCTGAGAATAAGACACTGAGTTATAATGCTCTTTTTATTTTTAGACAAAATCCTTGGAAGAAAACTGAGGCAGCTTTCTCAAGTAACAAAATCATCATATTTTTACTAGTCCACTACTAGCGTAGTGTTGGGCCCACTTTTTCCCGAACATTTACTTTTTTTATAGTCTTAGGTAATTAAGATCCAGGAGGTCGCGTCATCACAGTGAAGTCAAGAAGTGTCTGTTTTTGTTTTTTGGTTCTTTTAAGACAGTATGCACTTTTTAGTTGGCGATTTCTTGAACTTACTGGCACTATGTGGGTTGAGTTAAGATTGAGTAATTCATGCCATGGTTGTTTAATTTGGTGAAAAGCTGGCTATGACCTGAGAACAGACTGTTAGGAAATGGTCATGTTTTAAGTTTGCGTGTGTGTGTAAGTGGAGTATTTTGGGTTCATTCATCTCTTGCCAATCTTAGTTGTTAAGTAATCTTCTTGCATTCATATTTACATCATCTTCAGAATCTTGTGTTTCTGCCACTCTCATAAAACTGACTCGGGTTTGTAAGGTAGAGCTTGGTGCTTGGAATTAACCAGGAAAAGCCTCATTTATATCTCCTGCAAGAAGGACAGAGGGCCTGCACTGTGTACTGGCTGCCAGAAGTTTTTATAGTAATACTTTGTATCTAGGCTCTGGCTCTTACCATTAAATGTGCTTTTTATAGAGTACCAAGTTATAAATGTAGTGCAGCTACGGCATATTAATCTTACTGCAGAGATTTAATGAGGCAGTTGTTTTGCGATGGACACTAGTGGGAGCAGGGAGCGACAGAGTTTTACTTTACCACTGAGCTGCAGAAATATTCCTTGCCTGGTAATAATTATAACCACATGATCTCTTAGTTTTTCTTTCTTTTGCCAGTGCTTTTCCATGCAAAAGTGGCTTGGAAGGAGGTCCATTTCTAGGCAGTGAAATGGGTTGGAAATTGGGCTGTTTTCTCAGTGGTTTGACATTTTAGCTTTGATCAGGCATGGGATCTTTGTTGCACAGAGAGAAATATGTAAGATGAGTTTCAAGAATACAGATAGTCTTTGCCAGTCCACTGAGATAGCTTTTAGATATTCATTACTTTGACTTGACTTTTATATAGGTTATAAAAAGTAAATGTGGTGAAACCTCATTTTTACATGGACAGAATAGAATTTCTGCTGGTTGGCCTTAAACTGATCCCACACTTGAAATTAATTGAAGTCCATGGGTTTATTGCCTCCAACACTTTTAAGCCAGTGCAATTTTTCATTTTCCCCAAAGTTGAAATTTTATTAAACCAAGTTATAGCAATAACAACCCTATGAAGGGGAGGATGAGAAGGAAAGCACCACCTGCCAGAGAACATAATACGGGGAAAAACATACTTCTTTTAAATTTCCATTTGTAAGTAAAGTTAACAAAATTGGAAACAGAGAGCTGCCATTTATTTTTTGCAATAATAATTGTGTCTTTGTTCCAAAATTAGGTCTTTTACCCAGGTTAGAACGCTATAAATGCGGGGCTTCATAGCAACCTTTTGAAGGGATGAGCTGCAGGTGAGCTCAGTAGTGATGGACGTCGCATGTCTGAGTGGCGTCCTTTAGGTCAAAGGACAGAGAGTGGTGTCTGCAGCTGGGATAGGGTTTGCAGTTCTAGTGCAGGGGAGCTGTGGATATTTAAAAATACTGCCCTTCGGGGGAGTTTGGACAACAATTGAGTTGAAAGAACAGTTGTCCTTCTTGAAGTGGTGTTGGGAGCAGGGCAGTACTTGCAGGCGTGGACCTTGTATTTATAACCCCTTAGGTTGAAGTCAGAGATTTGAATGGCTCGCGGAGTAATACAATTATTTTTTATGATTGGATCTCAAAGGACTTTATAAAAACTACATAACTGAGGCCATGTGCAATTACTGAAGTGTAGCCACCTGTGGGAAAGAAATGGTCGACAATGTAAGCTTTCCAGAGTCTTCCTTACAGCAACTGACTCTGGGAGCCGAGCCCCCTAACACAAATAAACATCTTTTGAATGGGTGAGAAATAATTCTTCATGAAAGTGGAGGTTGGGAAAAAAATCTACTCACAGAGAGAGAGAGAGAGAGACTGAGATTCTAGCACTCGTTACGCCAAGGCATCGTAGACTATAATGGCACCCACCCCCCCAGAGGGTCCCTCTTAAGTGGTGACCTAAAAACAAATTCGCCAGTTGGCTGGAGCATGCATCCTAAAGTTGCAGCAGAAGTGAATAAGCTTGACTGACTTCAGTCCCTAAAGGGTTCTATCTGTAAATGCAGAAGTGGAAGCAAAAACATTTTTTATTAGTCTTAAACTGACCCTTATTTTAATAACTAGCCACAGTGTCAGAAGCACGGACCGGAGTCATTCTTTAGCTTTTAAGAGCTCAAGCATCATGAATGCATGCCTATTTGTTTGATATTTTTGATACTGGATTCGTGTAAAGTGTCCATATTCTTGAATAATAGGGAAGGCGAGTTTTTATCATTTTTCTCTGCGTACTACTTAAAGTATTCAGAGTGTCTTCTTATTTAAAAACAAACAGGCCTGCAAACTTGATGCATAGCATTTAAATAATCGTATTAAAATTCAGACTTAGCACCCACATTTCCCTCAGTGCTATCAGTTTTATGAGAAACTGGAATCTCATGCTAAACAATGGAGAATATTCAGTGTGTGCATACTGCCTTCCAAAAAGTACTTAGTGGTGTGAGGGCCAGTTTGCCGTAATTGGGACAGTTATTTATTTTCTGGACTTTCTCTCTAATTTGGCAGTATTTTACCACTTAGTTTTAGTTTGTTGGAGATCTTTGAACCACCACCTATTTGTTGTGGTGTGTGAAATATCTGAAACCAGCAAAGTCAAATGTGATGGATCATCGCGTCAATTTTGGGAAATGTAGGCATGTAGGTACTTTTTAATTTGGTGGTACCTGATCTGTTCCTCTTTATAGAAAAAATACCAGTTAAAGGACTTTTTATGCACATTTTTTCTACCTCCTCACTCCTCTCCCTTTTTATCATCACTAAATAATATTTACTAAGCACTCACCTGGACACAGTGCTGTGCTGGTCAAAGTACAAGACACACAAAAAAGATCCTGTGATTACTCCCCCAGGAATGAGCAGTCAAAACCCCAGTCTATTGAAATGGGCACTGTGTAGAGCATTGAGATAATAATTTTCCAGATGGCAAATCAACCCAAATTACCAATTCACTTAAACACTGTGTTCTTTAAAAACAAATAAACAAACAAAATACTTGTTCTTTGAGATGAGAACTCTGCTCTGTTCATGAGCCCAAGAGATTATTATATATGTTGAAATGTAAGTTGATTCTGGCACACGTGAATCATCTGAAGGGTGGTGACAGAGTTAAGTTTATTGCAGATGCGAAGAAAGGCTTTAGAACAACTGCCAGCAAAAAAGGGACCATAGTGACTTGTAAGAAGGAGGGTTCGTAGAAGCGTGTTACATGCCGGGCAGCAGAGAGCATTTCCAGACAGGAGGATGGTGGTGTGGTGGCACTTAACAGATTTTTCTACGACATCTGGGCTAATTTTGGTTCTGTGAATTCCTGATTGTAACATTTCAAATTTTTATCTTCCCATATTAAAAAAAATTGACTACAGATAATGCATTACATATTTCTTAGGTATCTTGATACAACTCTTTTATAACCATTTTATTGACTATATTTTGAGACATAATTTATTTCTGACTTTGGAGGACATTTTGCCATTAGAAATTAATGTCCCATAAATTATGTCACAGATTATATTACCCAATTTCCCCTAAAGAGGCATATTCTGTCTTTCTCTTCCTTCCCCACTTTTGCTTTCCTGTAAGAGGAGGGATGGCACCAGGATGTTTGGGGGCATCGCTAAAATGAGTCAAAGGACCACACATAGAATCAAGAAGTATCTAAAGTATGTATAGAGCTCTAAGTAAAAATGTTACATGTGTTTTACTCTCTCATTCCCCCTTGCTATTTGTGTATCATTCTTAGGGGTAGAATAGAACTATTTTTAGTTTTCCCGCTACCTTAGCTTTTTGACATTGGTAATGCAATTTAAGTCGTTGACTTGATTATAATTTATAATTGCTCTTTGTATATATTGCTTTTTTTGATGATTACTTGTTTGAAAACAAGAGACGTGCCAATATATTTACACTTGAATCCGTGTTTGTAAGAATGTTTTGCTGTGTGGTAGAGCTTATTTGGCTATCGCTGTCTAACAAATAATGGGGTAACTGTGTGTTTTGACCAGTTTGTAAGTAAAGGTCAATTTCGTGCCTATGGTAATTAGCTTAGCTTATTCTAGACTTTTGGCTAATTTGGGTAATTTCCTGTGAAACAGTATATTTAGCAGAAAGGGAATTCATTCTTACGCACAGTGGTTCTTTTCCTTTACATCGGAGACTTTAATTTTAAAACTGATTTTTCTACCTTTTAAGCAAAACCCCCTAAAAGGCTATGAAAAATATCAAAGTTCACCTTAAGAGTGGACAGATGAATTATTTGAAGGAAGCGATGAGAAAAAAAGGCCCACGTGGCGGTGGAAAGGAAAAGCGTCAGCCATCCTGAAGTGACACATCTTAGGCAAGACTCGCTTTTGGTTCCTCTGGAATAAAATCTGCCACGGAGCCTTCCTTCTACAGCTTTGAGGAAAATGGTGCTTCTGTTTTTGGTAGCAAGAAGATTAAACGTTACTTGAAAAGAACCTGTCTTTAAACCCCGCACTTACAGTCTTGATTTTCTTTCAGACCCCAGCTGTAAACTTGAAGACAAGACTGAAGATGGAGAGGCGCTAGGCTGTAAGAAGAGGCCGGAGGACGGAGAGGAGCTGGAAGACGAGGCCGTGCACAGCTGTGACAGCTGCCTCCAGGTGTTCGAGTCACTGAGCGACATTACCGAACACAAGATTAATCAATGTCAGTTGACAGGTAAACAATACTTACCACGTCTTGTCTTCGAGTACTGTCCTATTTCTTATTTTTTCAGTTCATACTGTTTTTTTTTTCTCTTGCTCTCCCAATTGTTTTACTCCCACACTTGAACACATAGGTGAGTCTAGAAGTGCTTTCGGAAGGATTCTAAGATGGCCGTTTGTGGCAAACTCAGCATCACAGTCCTTAGATTATGAACTGTACCTAGATTTTAATAGCTAGTGGGTCTTTCTTTCTTTCTTCCTTCCTTCCTTTCTTTTTCTTTCTTCCTTCCTTCCTTTCTTTCTATCTTTCTTTTTCTTTCTTTCTCTTTCTCTCTCCCTTCCTTCTCTTTCTTTCTTTCTTTCTTTTTCTTTCTTTCTTTCTTTCTTTCTTTCTTTCTTTCTTTCTTTCTTTCTCTCTTTCTTTCTCTCTTCCTTCCTTCCTCTCTCTTTCTTTCTTTTCCTTCCTTCCTCTCTCTCTTTCTTTTCCTTCCTTCCTTCCTTCCTCTCTTTCTTTCTTTTCCTTCCTCTCTCTCTTTCTTTTCCTTCCTTCCTTCCTTTCTTCCTTCCTTCCTTTCTTTTTCTTTCTTCCTTCCTTCCTTTCTTTCTATCTTTCTTTTTCTTTCTTTCTCTTTCTCTCTCCCTTCCTTCTCTTTCTTTCTTTCTTTCTTTCTTTCTTTCTTTCTTTCTTTCTTTCTTTCTTTCTCTCTTTCTTTCTCTCTTCCTTCCTTCCTCTCTCTTTCTTTCTTTTCCTTCCTTCCTCTCTCTCTTTCTTTTCCTTCCTTCCTTCCTTCCTTCCTCTCTTTCTTTCTTTTCCTTCCTCTCTCTCTTTCTTTTCCTTCCTTCCTTCCTTTCTTCCTTCCTTCCTTCCTCCTTCTTCTCTCTCTCTTTCTTTCTCGTTCTCTCTCTTCCTTCCTTTTTTCTTTCTTCTTTCTTTCTTTCTTTCTCTTCCTCTCCCTTCCTTCCTTCTTCTCTCTTTCTCCCTTTTTTCTTTCTTTCTTTCTTTCTTTCTTTCTCTCTCTTCCTTCCTTCTTTTCTTTCTTTCTTTCTTTCTTTCTTTCTTTCTTTCCTTCTCTCTCTCTCTCTCTCTCTCTCTTTCTCTTTTTCTAACTATAGTGATGCCATGGGGGTTCAGAATCTAACATGATGGTTAAAATAAAGTTAAAAAAAAACCTTTGTCAATATTTTTTCAAAGAAATGTAGTGTGTGTTAACTTATTTTGATGTAAATATCACTTCCTCGGGGGAACTTTCCTTGATGCCTCTCTGCCTGAGTTTGGTGCCTTTTTGTGTTCCCACAAAGTTCTTTGCCTATTGCATCTCACAGTTTCCACTACATGTGTTCACTTCCCCCTGTCCCTCTTTAGACTGCGAGCTCATGGATGGCAGGAACTGTGTCTTATTTGTTATTGTATTCTCTGAGCCTTGTACAGTGCCTGGCCCACAGTAGATTCCCACAAAGGCATGGACGCTATTCTGCTATGCAGTTCATGGGATGGATCCGACTTAAAATAACAATTAGCATGACGACATATTCAGTTTAATGGTTGAATAAAACTAAAACTCAGTTTGCCAAATTTCTATCCTCTTGAGAAACATCCTATAAGAACAGACTATATCAGCTTGAGTGGGACATTTTAGGTAGATATATTTTTTTAGATTCATGTAATTTTTCTCTTGCTATTTGAAGCTGATATTCTCTGGCTGTGTGCATATGTCTGTAACTCTCTCTTTCTTTCTCTCTCTTTGTTTCCCAGCACAAATCTTTCTTCAATTACCCATGTATAGGAAACATATTTAGTAAACAAGTGATTCTCCAACTGTTTTCCATAGGATATTGATATTTTTGTAAGATTTTAAAAGGTGTTCCATTTTAGTCAGGGTTTCTGAACAGATTTTTGTGGAAATGTTGGATTAAGTCCAATTAACTAGGCTTCTTTATTAAAGTGCACTGTGGCTCTTCAAGAAGGGACTACAGTGACTAAGGCCATAGAATCTTCTTTCTTTCAGAAAACCCTTGGTTGGAACTTAAGTTTGAGCATTGATGTTGCATATATAAGTATTGGCCATAATACGTATTTTTTGTGGTTTTTAGGATTTTTAGTAACTTTTATTTTGTCATAGTGCCAAACTTAACGAAAAATTACAAAAGTAATCCATAGAATGCCCATGCACTATTTACCTCATTCACTGACTCAATGATTATTTACATTTCACCCCATTTATTTATCATTCTTTATCTTTCGTTAATTTTTTCTTAATCATTTGAGAGAAGATTGGTGACATCATACCCTTCTAAATATATCTTATGTATTTCCTAAGAACAAATATTCTCTCACATGACCACAGCATACTTCTTGAAATCAGGAAAGCTCACATTTAATACCATAGAATATTATTATCTAATCCATGATCAATATTTAAATTTGAATAGTTGTTTCAATAATGTCCTTTATAGCTTTTTTTTTTCTTGTCTAGGATTCAGGACCATGTACAACATTTATTTGTCATGTCTCTTTTGTTCCTTTTACCTGGAAAGATCTCTCAGCCTTTCTTTGTCTTTCTTGACCACGACATTTTTGAAGAGTATCTGTCAGCTACTTTCTAGAATGCCTGTATTTGGGTTTGTTTCTTTGTGATTACATTCAAGTTACATCATTCTGTGGCAGGAACACCATCAAAATGATTCTGTGCTCTTCTCAGTGCATTAGGTCTAGAAGCATGTGATGCTGATTTGTCCTCATGTTGATGATGTTAACATTGAATACTTCTTCAAGGTGGTGCCCACCAACTTTCTCCAGTATAAAGTTACTATTTTTCCTTTGTAAGTAATAAATCATTTGTGGGAAGATGCTTTGACCTCATATAAATATCCTCATCCTCATAAAACATCCATTTTAACTCTATAAATTTTTGTAGTTATTAGCCTTCTACCACAATTTCCTTTCTTATTCATTCACTCATCTGTTTATTTGTATCACTATGGGCTTTTGGATTTTATTTTACTCAGTGGTCATAATTTATTACTGTCATTATTTTGATGCTCAGATTGCCTGAGATTTAGCCAATTGGAATCCCTTCAAACTGGATCTTGTGTTGGTTTCATATGTCTTCATCATTATTTGAGGACTTACCTTAGTTTCGGCTGCACACAAATGCCCCAGGCTCATCATATTCTTATCCCAGTCCCGTAATCAGCCTTTTTTTTCCAAGGAGCCCTCATTCTTTTAAGAAGAAAGGTATTTAGAAACCAAGATATGGGCACTAGGTGTGCTCATTGCTGTAGGTATATCATTGATTATAGAGCCTTCCAGCAGACAGAATTAGGAAGTGTATATGTAAATTTAATATAATATACACATAAGAATCATGTGTTCATATTGATGCTTCTAATTCAGTCCAACACTTCAGGTTCATCCCAGGTTCCTCTCCATATTTATTACTACAGTCTTTGGCAGTGAGAAACCTAGCTTCATCATCCTCAACATGTTTGCTCATTTGCTTGAGTCTAGAATATACCTTAAGCCATTTCAAAGTTGCTTACTCATATCATCATGATAAGCAGACCAACTAATTAGTTTCACAGTTGTTTATTAGTGCTGTAATTTTAATGTAACATCTACATACAGTGAAATTTATAAATCATAAGTGTACAATTTGATGAATTTTGACAAAACACATATACCCACATGACCCACATCCCTCTTGAGATAATTTCCTGCATCCTAGAAATTTCTCTAGTACCCCTTTCTGATCAATAATGCTCCACCAGAAATAACTAGCTTTTAAGTTGTTTAACCACAGATTAGTTTTAGAACTTCTTGTAAGTGGATCACACAGTATGTATTCTTTTTTTTGAGTTCAGCTTCTTTTGTTCAGTATAATGTCTGTGAGATTCATCCATGTTGTATATATGAGTAATGTGTTCTTTTTTATTGCTGAGTAGTATTCCATAATATGAATATATCATAATTTATTTCCATACTCCCATTGCTAGACATTTTGGTTATTTTTAGTTTTTGGTTTTTATGAATAAAGTTGTGAACCTTCCTATGTAGGTCTTAATGTGGACATATGTTTTATTTTTCTTGATTTAACAAGTAGGGATAGAATTGCTGAGTCGTGGGAGAGGGGTGGTGGGATATGTTTGACTTGAAAAACTTCTGAACCTTTTCCCAAAGTGGTTGCACCATTTTACACTCTTACCAGCAATGTCTGAGAGTTCCAGTTGTGCTTCCTAGCTTACATTTGTGTTGTCAGTTTTTTTAATTTTAGCATTCTATTGGGTGTGTATTGGGTTTATTTGCATTTTCTAGCTCATATACATTTAATTGACTTCATGTGATGCATTTTTTATCCCTTAGAATGCATAATTTTTGGAAAGTCCCATTAAATGCAAGACAATTAGTATGATTCTGTTTTCAGTGGAATACCTGGTGATTTAAAAGGAGCTTTACTCATGTAGAATCATCACTACTGTTAGAATAAAGACATAGTGACTTGACTGACATGGCTAGTATATACTATGCTAGCAAGGAATCTTACCTTAGGTGAGAGTGGGTTGTTAAACAAGCCTTAAATTCTATTTAGTGTTTATTTTTTATTGAGTTTCTGCCACATAGTTATCCTTATGTTCAGCTTTATGAAATAGAATAGAAGCAAAAGATACTATTCCTTTACAACTTTATATATTATACAATACATATTCCTTTACATATTATACAACTTTAATAATCAGTGCAGAAAATGCTCAATTTTCAGCACATGGTATGGTGAAGATATTTATGGGTTAAATATTGTTTTTCTTCAAAAATGAAAAAAACGCTCACCCTAATAAAATATTTGGTTTATTTTGATCTTAAGCTTTCTAAAAGTAGGGAATCTAGTCTCTGCTCACATACCACAACATTTTAATCAAAGGTAGGAAAACAGAGGCTTATTTGTGACAATCAAACACATTTTAGGAAAGGTAAATCTGATAAGACTTGGTCCTGTTTGCTGTTGTTTCAGGATGATT